TAAAGAAGTTTAATCAGTACTTCCACTTTTACCAGAGTATTTTTTAACACAAGTATCTGTACTTTTACTCAAGTACAGAAAGTGAGTACTTTTGCCATCTCTGCTGGCAGTGGACATGTGTTGTAAATTGGCACCATAGAAATAGAAATAAACTGAATAGAATAGGACTGTAAGATGACGTTAAACCTTGTAACTGTCCTGATTTCTCTGCTCTACATCTTTCCTGTCTGACAGCCAGAGGGGTTCAGGTTGAGCTGGAGGCCTTTAGGGAGCCTCAGTATCTGGAACAGATCTAAACTCATCCTCTTCACATCCTCAGAGGATAGAAACGCAACATGGAGAAACTGAAAAACTGCAGAAATGTCATGAGATTAAACGATTTAATGTTGGATTATAATTCCATTTCACAATTTCATGTTACATTTATTTATTTCAACCATTAGTCTGACAGAAACTTTGAATCTTTAACCTGACTGAATGATCTGGTTGATCTAGATCTATAGAGTGATCTGAGGTGATCTGCTGCTAACTGGAGTCCTTCCAGGTGGGAACATTTCATGATCTATTTTGGTTTTCATTATACCTCAGACATCGCATCACTAGTGTGTAAATAGAGGATGTGGCGACACCCCAGGTCAAAGGTCACGGATCCAGATCCACCTGCTGGCTGATCCGGACCCAACCGGATTTAAAACATTTATAAATTACTGCATGTTGTCTGACGGCAGTGTCTGAACATCACTTGCGCCACTTCTCCTGTTACCCCGAAATCTCACATCCTCCGCCCCGCAGCACCCCACCCCCCAGCGCTCCGCCCTGCAGCGCCCCACCCCCCAGCGCTCCGCCCTGCAGCGCCCCACCCCCCAGCGCTCAGCTCCGCCCCGCAGCATCCAGATCTCCTGCAAAGCAAAGCCTCCAGCCTCCGCTGTTCCTCCCGTATCGCTGCGCTCTGACTGATCCTCGGAGCTCCAGGAGAGCATGCGCCATATTATCATTGAATTAATAGGAGCAAAACATGCAGGAATGAAGGCTTAATTTAATCTGACAGATTAAATAATCCCCATCAGCATCCAGCAGATGTTCAGTTTCTGATGGAGATGAGAAATCTGCTTCCTGGTCTGTTGAAGGACCGATAGTTTGCATCCAATCTTTGAAATAAACGCGGTTAGTTTATCTAAATATAGAAGAATTATGCTCTAATTACTGATCTGTTGTTACTATTTTAATCTGACAAACCGGATCTTCTCGCCGTTCTTTCTCCTGTTTGGTGCGATTAGAGGATCCTGACCTGGCCGGACCGGAGCGGAGCCTGAACATTTAGAGGATGTTTGGCTCAACCTGCTGCTGTGAAGCAGGATTCTCCACCATGAACAGAATCAACAATAATGAAAAATGTCTGCAGACCTTTACTGGCTGATGTTTCTTTATTTGGACCCGTCTGATTTTTAATTGGTTACCATGCCCTAGGGGATCCTGGCCTCCACTGGGAGTTCTGTTGGGGGGGTTTCTGTCTCTTTAGTGCAGCCTGGCTCAGGCGTCCAATGGAAACAGAAGGATCTGCTCCCTCTGTGCCGCCATGCAGAGGCAGTGGCCAAGATGGCGGCATTCTCTGCAGAACTGCCGGCTAATCAGAGGGGGCGGCGCCAGACGCCGTGTAAAGCGACCTGAGGAGCTAGTAGATGAAAACCTGACTTTGGCGGGAACTCTTTGTGTTGTTGAATTGGTGTGAGGTATTCTATGTGGGGGCGGGGCTATGTGGGGGCGGGGCTTACGGTGCATGCAAACACTTCCTTACTGTGTAGAAAGCTTCTTCAAAAACCAGCAGCGGTCCAGAGAAGCCGATCACCAGCAGAGGCTGAGCTCCCAGCACGCTGAACACGATGCCCTGCATCGCCGTGGCAACAATCAACTCCGACACACCGATCAGTCCCTCCGTCTTTTCACCTGGATCACAGGACAGAGGTCAGAGGTGTCCCAGCCGGCTTCCTTTCACCTGCCCCGCCCGTGTCACTCACCCAGCAGGCCGCCGAAGGTGATGGCAGGAGATAAGGCAGCAAAGTAGATGAAGATGATGGCCGCCATGCACTGAGGGTTCAGAGCGTCCCGGATGTCACTCAGGTACTGAGGGTATCGCCGTGTCACATCAGTGATCAGACCTCCAAAGAGACGACCCGAACGCTTCAGCGGAGCTTCACTGGACTTCAGCGGAACCAGAGAGTCTGAGAGAGAACATCAGCACGAGGTCACCAGGCTGAAAATGATGTTTCACCAATACGCTGAATATGATGTTTCACCAATACGCTGACGATACGCTCATTTACATCACCACTGCCTCTAAAGCACAAACCAGCTTCAAACGGCGCCAACCAGACTCAGTGGTTCAGAACCCCCATTCATCCTCAGGTTTATGGAGCTCTGAGGACTGCCAGACTCCCTCTGAGGGGTTTAAAAACCACCACAGATTCATGCATTCATTGAGACTGAGACTCACTTTTGTCCTGCTGTAAGCAGATCTGCTTCTCCTGGACTTTGCTGCTCTGATCGTTCTCTCCTCTTTGGACCCGAGGGACAGAGGGAAGCAGCTCATCGCTGTTGACCTCAGATGGGGGGAGAACCACGCTACGCTCTAGGAAACGGTTGACGGCTGTCAGCAGATCCTGCTGGCTCTCTGCTTGGTACGCTGCCTCAGAGAAGTGCTGCAACACAGAAGCAGGAAATGTTACCTGCTGGACTTTAACGGCAGCAGAATGGAGGCGTCTGGGAGCAGGAGCGGACCTTGTCTGACATCAGCGTGGAAATGGAGCGCCCGATCTGGCGGTAATCAACGTTGGCAGCAGGTGGGCCCAGCAGCAAGAAGAAGAACCTGACTGGGATGGAAACCTCCAAAACGGAGTCCAGCAGAACCGCCTCCTGCAGACGCACAAACACCACGGTGGGCTGGTCCAGGAAGCCCACCGCGCCTGCAGTCACAGCACAGGGAGAAGTTAACGGCATGCAGGACATGATCCGCATGCTCTGCACAGGAACCAGGTCCTGGGAGGGAGCTGAGACACATCAAAGGTCAAAGGTCACTCAGACATCAGATCATAGAGCTAAGCCACGTAGAAGCTCAGGATGTTTAGAAGGAGAGACACCATCATGGCGTCATGCCAAGGGCCCAGAACTCCAGACTGACCAAAGCTAACTGGATCATCGTAAACTAATCGCAGCAAACAGACTGTCATGGTCTGACAATTCTGGAGCTTTTGTTTCTGTTTTTATTCTTTGGGTTCTCCAGTTTCCTTTGTTCATTTTTTTTCTCTTTTCTTCAACATTTCTGTCTAGTGTTCTAGTTTCAGTTCTTCTCTCTCATATCTTTACGTCATGTTTTCCTTTTATCTCCATTTCCTTTTCTTATCCTCTACTTTTCCCTAGGTCATTCCTTATTTTGTAGTCATTAGTTTTATTCCCCTTTAGCCTCATTTAAGTTATCCTGTTACCCTTGGTTATTCTCTGTTATTCTCTGCTGCCCCCTAGTGTCCTTTCCTTCCTCCTTAGCTCTTTCTAGTTAATTCTGTCCACACCAGCTCCCTGGTCTGTAAGCGGTTTAAAGTGCATCATGGTGCACTTTAAACCACTGCTAAGGTGCTAAGCAGTATCAGCCGTGCCGCTGCGTCCTGTTTGGCCACGCCCCCACCTGCCTGCAGCGCTGCTCATTCTGCATGACCTCAGATGGATCCTGGCAGCAGCAGGGAGAAAATAATCCGGAATGATCCGGTACGGTGCGCTGAACTCTGACTAACTCCGATCTTCCAGCTGTGCAGAAATGCGTCTTTGCGTAGCTTAGCTCAGAGTCTGCGCTTTACGC